TAAAAAACAAGTAAGAGCAGCGCTGTCTTCGGCTATGCCGAAGGCTTCATACCTTTCATGAACATCTGCAAATTTTAGTTTGACAGATTACTGATTTTGAATACAGCTGCATACATCGATAGAGGAGTTACATACTTATATCAAAAATCGCATCTAAACAATCAGAGGTATGGAAGATATACTTTATATGGAACCAATCTAAGTCATTTTCACTGCTATGTGATCGGTATGTAAACCGGTAACACAATTTATTGGGTTTAGTTTCCTACATAAAGGAGATATATGGCAAAAACTGGTATCTGAACAATCAGTGCTATAGGAGATAAGGTTATACAGCATAGATTTTGATGATTTTCTCAGTAGGCTTTGTATTATTATTTATAAAATATCTTACGAAATTTATCGGTTTTAGCTGTTCAAATAAAGAAGTTTTACAGTAAAATCCCATATCTGAACAATCAGATGTATGGAAGATATATGTTGTAGTCACCCGGTCCTTGTTATTTTCACTGGAAGTATTCTGTTAATGATGAGTGAAAATGGTGCGAAATTTCATGTTCCTAACTGCATAATGGAGGAGTTATGATAAAAGACCTCATATCTGAACAATCAGTTGTATGGGGTCTGCAGGTTGTAGTTACCCGATCTTTGTTATTTTCGCTGTAAGTCTTCTGTTGATAATGAGTGAAAACAGCGCGAAATTTCATGGTCCTAGCTACATAAATGGAGGAGATATGATAAAAGACCTCATATCTGAACAATCAGTTGTATGGGGTCTGCAGGTTGTAGTGACCCGATCTTTGTTATTTTCACTGTAAGTTTTCTGTTGATAATTATTGAAAACAGTGCGGAATTTCATGTTCCTAGCTATATAAATGGAGGAGTTATAACGAAAAATTTTATATCTGAACAATCAGTTGTATGGGAGCTATAGGTTATAGTGATCCGATCTTTGTAATTTTCACTGTAAGTATTCTGTTATAACGAAAAATCTCATATCTGAACAATCAGTTGTATGGGAGCTATATGTTATAGTGGTCCGATTCTTCCGGTTCCGACAAATGATTAATACATTATAAAAATAGATCCACCTACCAAATTTGATACGGATATCTCGAAAACTGAGAGACTAGATTGCATACAAACAGACGGACAGACGGAGAGACGGACATGGCTAAATCAACTCAGCTCGACGTTCTGATCATAAAAGTATACATTTTAATGGGTCTATCTCTTTTTGTTGTGGTACTTACAAACATCGGACCAAAGTTATAATACCATTTCATGCTCATGAAAGGTATAAAAATCTACGGCCTTATTGAATCACTCTGCAAAAGCACACAGATTTGAAATGGTTGCAGAAAGAGCCGAAGACCGGCTGGTAACAAACAAGCACATATAGATGACCACAAGAAAATAGGTAAATTATCTTTCAGGAAATACATAAAAAAAAACAAAAGCATGGGCAAAACAAAAGATTCTGAATGCATGCAGTGACTCAAACAAATGACTACGTGTTGATATTCGTAATATTTTTTTATTCGTAATGTTTTTCGAGATAAATTTTTGTTGTTATTTTTCTATAAAAAAAATACCGTCCAAGCTTTAACCAAAACCATATAAATCACTATTTTAAAATTTATAAAAAATTTAAGAAAATTTATAAAATTTTAATCAAAATTTCAACTTTTTAACATTTTTGGGTATGCAGTTTTAAACCCCATACATATTTTCATAAAAAAAAAATTTAGGTTAAAAAACATTACGAATATTAAAAAAAAAAACAAATCGTGGTCATTTGTCTGAGTCACTGTATGTGACGGCTCCAGCTCAGACGAGCCGGACCACACATTCTTCGCAAGTTCGCGGTATACTCGTAGCAGCTAGCGCGGCACATAGTGTCGAGAACCAAGAAAACTATCACCTGTAAAAAAATTGGGAAATAACAAACTATCTGGAAAATGTGCTTCGAAAAAAAAGCGGGTCCTGGGACAGGATTCTGTTACTGTGAGAAAATATAGTGTACACCGAGTGCAACACTCACAACCAAAAACTCACCGAATAAAATTCAGTGAGTGTTTCGGAAGAGCAGTGTACACAATTTTGACAGCTAAAATTCATTCTCACACTTACTGAATCGCAAAATGAAGAGTGCACACAATTTTCAGTGTACACTTGAAAACTCACAATTACAGAATCCAGCCACTGGACTCAGATGCACCGATGGGCGTCTGGTTTTTTAATGCCACGCTGAAGGAATGCGTGCTACCAGCCATCTGTGCACAAAAAAAAACTTAATTCATTTTATTTTATTTTCTATTTATTTAATTTTTTTTTATAATTATCACCTATTTCAACAACTGTTCAATACGGCATACTTGCTGAGATTTCACAAAGAAAATTGTGTTATCGAAAATCTTCCAACAAATATTTGTCTTGACTTGCGCAGATAATGAACGAGAAAGCAACATAAGTACATACCTTTGTATTGTATGTACGTAGATAATCATACCCATTAAATGTATTTTCCATAAGTATGAGTTCACAAAAAATCCAGTAAAATCTGTCACGTATTACTCCACCCTCGTGGCTTAATATTTAACCACCTTTCAATTCATACCACACGCATTATTTCTGCCTGTTAAACATAACTTTTTTGGTATCGTCACTTGCGTCGTCAAATCGCTTCGAGTGTGACTCATTAACTAAAGTGCCACTTACGCGCCCACTTAAGTGCAGCTAAAGTATCGTAATGCGGGCGTGCAAAGGAGCAACGGAAATGCTGCAAGGAAACCACATTTACTTCAAAGTAAGGGGGGGAAGTAAGGATTAAAATAAACTACGGAAGTGGCATAGCCAATGAAAAATATGTGCCAGTATACAAAAATGTGGCGCAAAAACCGCAAAATTATTTGAATATCTCAAAAAGTGGTGCTTTAATCGATTTCGAGCGTGCCAAGGGAAATGAGTGGCGTTAAAACGTGATTTTGAGGTAGATTAGTTTCAAGTGGAGAACACATGCACTTATTTATATAAGTACATATAATATATCCAAGGATTTGAATTGAGGAATAAGTAGGAATGAGGCACTTTGAAATGAAGAAGGAGTAAAAAACTACACTAAACGTTTGATACGTATTCACTACTTTTTCGGTAAACTTTATTCGACACAATCAATCTGGATGGGCACCTATTTGATTTTCAGTCATATTTACTATGCGCAAACCACTTTTGTATGGCACATACGAAAATTTCGCCCACAGGAAAAATGCATTGTAACATGCGATAAAATATACAGTAAATTTTTGGCGTAACTATAGGGATTTCAGATACAATATTTTAGCAGGTAAGTCGTCGAATATATTTGCATTAAAAAGGCGATTTCGAAAAAATCGCGCATACTATAATTTCGTGAAAAGGGTTGGGATATGTATTTAAAAATTTGTAACCCATGTATGTAATTCAAAGCCCAATATCTCGATAAGTATCGATGTTAGCGATTTGGTTACCAAGTTTTGACATTTTTTCTGTAGCTCTTGTTATTTACGACATAATGGGAAAAAACGAAAACTTCATGAAAAAATTGGGTTTAGTGACCTTGCTGGCTGGAGTTAGGACACTTTTGTAGAGCATTCAATTCTAAAGAAACTCTATTATTGATCAAGATTATATCATAAAATGCCTCTGAGCTATAAAATTTTGAAAAAAGACAATTAAAGTTACGAATCACCGCTTTTCATTTAGAGAATTTTGGAAAGATTCTCAGAATTCCTCTAGTGGATGGTATTACCCGGCGACTTGTGGACCTGCTAGCACGTCAAATATCTGCAAGAATGTTGGTAGTTAATATTGTAAAAAGACATATTAATAATGCTCTCCCCGAAGCTCGGTCCAACGGGCAACATACCATACCATACGTCGCATCTTCCCTCTGTACAAGTAATGTTAGCACCGGGAAGTTATTTTAATCACTTTTAGTGATTCTTTAACGAAGTCCACGGCTACTTTTGGCTTTGTATTCCATCAAATTGGATTCTAGAAGGTTCTTTTAAGATTTGGGACACTGTAGGTATACCTTTTCCTCCCAATTAATATTTTGTTTTTAATCTATAGAAAGTCTTTAAGAGCTGCTGCCGCGTAAAATGGTTTGTCGGTTTTAGACAAAATTTTAACTAGCCAATGAAGACTGAGACACCTAGACTTAAATATCTTGTTAACTTTCTGCCTGTGGACTTATACGGTAAACTATTTACATATAAGCTGTAATGCTATTAGATTAAACACGTTGATCAAATGAAGTGATACGAGGTTTGGGCACTCCAGAATTTTCGAAGATCTTCTAGTAGAAAGAATGGCAGTCCCGCGTACTGGACTAAAGGATCTCCTGTTGCGGTTAAACTAGCAAAAAAAGGAACCTTGCTGTATGCAGCGTAGATCTCGCCCTTTTCTCCGCTTGTAGCGACCACTACATTGGCATTTTATTGGAGTTATCGCCGGACACCGCCTGATGGGAACCCACGTTTCTAGAATGGGTTTGCAGTCAAACGAATCGATATACCTATGTACATATATCGAAAGCGTTTTTACTTCAAATTACCCACATTTTAGCATGACCCTAATAATTTTGGTCAAACTGTATAGACTTGTAGCAGTTAGAAATGAAAGATCCTGTTTAACCGCCATCATTACAAATAACGAGCCATACATATCCTTGCGCCACTCCAATTAATTATTTCCCAGTTTCGTTTTCATCTAGTATTTACCAGCAGACCAGAGTTCCATAAGTAATGATTGTCATCACATTTGAACATATACTTCTCACAGGTATATCGCTACAGCGGACTATATTCCAGTGACAACAATTTTACCCCACCAATTCCTTTTGCAATAACCAAATATTTACTCAAAAATATTGAGAACAGATGATGAATGTTCATTTCCATGAATCTGACTTTATATGTACAGTGGCTTTTATATGGAGCCACGCAACCATAACCTACCTTCTCCACCTGGTGTTGCGGGCGTTGTTACATTTCCATTACCCGGCGATGAGAGTGAACGACCCAAGGTGCCACTACCACCGCCACGCCTTGTGCTGCCGCGTGGACGACCACGTTTAGTGCCACGCGGATGATGGCGACGACGTATGCGACCAATATTGCCATAGTCACCAAATAGAGCTGTAAGGATACAAGAAAGCAATGATAAATTAATACGGGAATGAGCAATAAAGGAAATTAATAAAAAAAAATGGAGGTAGGCCAAAGCGCACACAAGCTATAAAAAAAATGTTGTGAACACATACGGAAGGACATAGGCAATTTTTAAATTTTAATAACACAAAGGCATATTGTAGATACATACTGTAAGTAATTAAAAGCTGACAGTTGGCGAAAGGATGAGGATGTGGGAGGACTTAAAATGGACAGTTGAAAACGAGATCATATGCAGAGCACAACAGTAAAAGGTATTCGTAAAGGAAGGCGTAGTGCTCTTTGATTAAATTGTTCCACGAGTTTCAACGCGAAACAGATTGCAATAAATTACCGGAAAAACACAGCACCACATGGTGTCCTACGATTCGTACACATTTCTACAAATAATTGCACTTTAATGCATACAAATTATCGTACACTAAAAAAATTGCTTTGACCAATGTGGTAATTAAAAAACAAAAAGCAGCTAATGTAGGCCATAATAGTGGAAAATGCAATGGACCAAATGCAGGCAAATTGAGCGCGTGACCATTTCAAATGGAAAAGGCAGCACGTGAAAATTAAAAAAAAAAATAAGAAAGTAATTCGTTGTTGAAAGCAATTAATCTCAATTTTAAGCGACTCAAAGGACACGAAAGAGTGCATAAAAAACAAATAAAATAAAAAAGAAAGAAGTGGAAATAAATGAACATTTTTTATTGAAATTGGCGCATATGGAGTGTTTTCTTGTCAATTTTGGAGAGGAAATAAGTGGTAGTTTATAGCAAAAATTAAATAGGAAGCAGCTGATGATCACAGCTGTAGTTGCCTCTGAGCTATGATGTATGTAGTTAGTTATCTTGCAGAAAATGAAGCCTAGTTTCTCAAAAGGCTTATTTCTGAGTAATTCACTACTTTCGCAACTTGTTGAAATAGAAAGCAAGAATTTAAAAGTTAACGAAGAAACCCAATTATAGTGATAAAGTACGTAAATTTTTATGAATCACTAGTAAATACCCGGCGTGCTGCACAGAGCCTTAAAGGTATTTTTGTGTTGTTTGATACCCATAATTTTTTTTTTTAAATTTAATTAAATACAATTTTCAAACAGGTGGCAACCCTCCTCAACAATATTTTCGGAAGTAAACTTTCCTAATGCTATTCAGTTTGATACACATACTGCAATATTTAATTTATCTTGTCAATTAAATTAAATTAAAATTTTCAAACATGTGGCAACCCTCACAAAAATATATGCCGCAGTAATCCTTCTTAAGCCTCTTTCTTTTCACAGCCATATAGTAATATTTACCTTATCTTATCAATTTACTTAAACTGCAATTTTTAAACAGGTGGCAACTCTCTAATTTATTCTCTTTCTGTATTTTAAGCTACACCTCTAGCAAAACACCTATGAAAACGGCATTCAATTTCATGCATTAGTTTGCGAGACAGACAGACGGACAAAAATTCTAAAAATTGTTGGATTGGCTTCTATTACTCTAATAAAGTCCCCTATATTATTTTTCTTTAATATCTATAATGTACGGACATCGGTCTGTTACAATGCTATTATACGTGTAGATGTCAAAACGAAAAAGCAACGTATTTTTCTTTCACACCCATCCCGTTTTTAAAATTAAAGTAACTGTTAGTCAAAATTTTTAGCTTCAAATCTCTCTTTGAGAACTTTATACGGAGACATCACTTGAAATGCAATTACAAAAATTCTTGAATGACTAGGTCCGTAAACATTAAGACACTATCATCGCACAGCACTTCCTCAAAAAGTGTGGTAGAGTGCAAGGCAGCCACGGCTGAAGTACATAGTTACATATATGCTGGTACGGAGGTGCCTCTGCACTGGATTCCACGCCGCACTAGCGTTACTGGCAACGATGACCTCGCCAAAAAAAGGAATGGTTTCAANATTAAATTAAATTAAAATTTTCAAACATGTGGCAACCTCCACAAAAATATATTTATTTTTCTTTCACACCCTTGCCGTTTTTTAAATTAAAGTGACTGTTAGACAAAATGTTTAGCTTAAAATCTCTATTTAAGAACTTTATACGGGGACGTCACTTGAAATGCAAGTACAAAAATTCTCGAATGGCTAGGTGTGCAAACATTAAGACACTATCATCGCACAGCATTTCCTCAAAAAGTGTGGTAGAGTGCAAGGCAGCCACGGCTGAAGTACATAGTTACATATATGCCGGTACGGAGGTGCCTCTGCACTGGATTCCACGCCGTACTAGCGTTACTGGCAACGATGACCTCGCCAAAAAAGGAATGGTTTCAGATATATGGCCAATAGAAGATCTGTAAATTTCTCTACAAGATATTAGAAATGAGTAGGACTTGTATACGATGTGGCAGGCAGATACGTTATGTACCAAAAGCATAGAACAAAGTTTATTTTATCTCTTCAGCGAGCAGGATTATAGGACAGTTCTGGCTAAGATAGTTGCAAGTCTTTTGTAAAATAATTGAAAGGCCTTAGGAAAGACAGTTTAAAAGATTTTGTTCATTCTGGTACGAAAACCTTACAAAAAAACTCCCTTGCCAACTTTCATGGTGAAAACCTGAGCATGTTCCAAATGGCGAAGTGTATCATTTTGCTCGAGCTGCTCCAACAGGCACAATAATTTTCTTTTAATATTTAGATTTCAGTGTTTTAAGAAAAATAATTTGTATTTTTTTAGATCTCATTTAATTTGTATAAACTTATGTATGTTGTCTTCTTTCTTCTTCTTATTATTTTTTTATATATTTAAATTTTACTATTTTAAAAAGAACAATATTTTATTAATTTCTATAAGTTTTTANGCCGGTACGGAGGTGCCTCTGCACTGGATTCCACGCCGTACTAGCGTTACTGGCAACGATGACCTCGCCAAAAAAGGAATGGTTTCAAATATATGGCCAATAGAAGATCTGTAAATTTCTCTACAAGATATTAGAAATGAGTAGGACTTGTATACGATGTGGCAGGCAGATACGTTATGTACCAAAAGCATAGAACAAAGTTTATTTTATCTCTTCAGCGAGCAGGATTATAGGACAGTTCTGGCTAAGATAGTTGCAAGTCTTTTGTAAAATAATTGAAAGGCCTTAGGAAAGACAGTTTAAAAGATTTTGTTCATTCTGGTACGAAAACCTTACAAAAAAACTCCCTGGCCAACTTTCATGGTGAAAACCTGAGCATGTTCCAAATGGCGAAGTGTATCATTTTTCTCGAGCTGCGCCAACAGGCACAATGATTTTCTTTTAATATTTAGATTTCAGTGTTTTAAGAAAAAGAATGTGTATTTTTTTAGATCTCATTTAATTTGTATAAACTTATGTATGTTGTCTTCTTTCTTCTTCTTATTTATTTTTTTTTATATATTTAAATTTTACTATTTTAAAAAGAACAATATTTTATTAATTTCTATAATTTTTTTTTTT